ATTATGAAATAAAAAAGTCGATTATATTAAAAGACAATTTGACAAAAATCGATCGATTTCTCTTTGCAAAAAGATCGATCTTTGATTAAAATCGATTCAGATCTGTTATCGTATATCGATATAGCACTAAATATGCCCTTCCCTACTTATAATTTAAATTTGGCGCCTTGCCTTGACGGGAAAAAACGGAAAGGAAGTAGGAGGAGCTTAACGACTCGCTTCGAAGACGACGACGCACGCGCCAAGCATGGCACCAAGTTTTTCGAGCAATGTTTAATGTGTGTTTAATGTTTCAAGGCTGGTCGAGGTGAAAAATAATAATGTGGGAACAGTGCCAAATAAATAATTTTTATTGAAACTGTTGTGTGTCTCTCAGTAAAATCAAAACCCACGAAAAGCACTTCGCATTCAGATCGTACATCCCTAACGTTAATTATCAAAAAGACTTCGCCATTCGTATAAATCGGCACTTCTTTTAATCTTTCCTATAAAATCTCATTTCAAACTTACCCATAATCTAAATACCTACATTTTCTTACACTTGACCTATCCCCCAATAAAACAATTTGAAAATAATTTAATTTTTTAATACCATTCTTTCACCATAAAAACTAATTTTATCACCAAAATATAGCACAACACACCACAAACCAATCAAAGGGCACTTTTTATGGCGTAAACGGGTTCACCCCCACTTCTGATATTAGAGACAGTGTGGTCTCTTTATAGATATACATTATTAATAAACTAATTTATTAAAAAAATAGAGATCCGTTATCAAGCAGGGCGCGCGACGAAGTGAAGTCTTAACATCTCAAGACAGCATTCATCCTTGGACCTGCGCAGATCTTGACTACTGTTGGCGCGTTAACCGAATTTTATGAATTATATAGGGTAGGTGCTAACAGCCTGTTAAGGTCCTCTAGAAGATTTCCATGCTGTGCTACCATTATACTGCATGTGGACTTCACAATTTGAGAAATGGATTGAGGTGACATATTAAAAAATGTTTTTAAATCCACTAAACGACGATATGCTAGCCGTTTTAGCACTATAAGAAGTTCTTTAAATCGTAAAAAATCTGAGATCAAGTAGTTGTAATTGTGGATTAGAGATAACTTATTTAAAGTGTTTTTCAGTAATCAAGTGGCAATTAAGTAAATATTTTTAAATAGATGCTGCCAAATAAAAACTTATCATCAACACTTCTGTCACTACTCTATTCGGTATTCCAAAAACATTTTGGAGTCGTGGAAGGAGTCGTGAAAGAAAGTTAACTTTGGAAGCGCAAACAAAACATAATTTTACTCACCAGTAGATCCAATATTGCCTATTACACCAGATATGGTATCGCTCCGCCAGTTTTTAAAGGTTAGGTCATTGTCTACCCATATGTTTCATCCAAATAGATAATACTTGGCTATATTTTCGAATTTCGCGTATATATTTATATCTCTCTCTCTGCAATATAATGGGCCGCTCCATTAATATTTATCTGTTATTTTGACATTTACGCCAAAAAAAAGCATTTGATTTTAATAACCCCCTAAGCGTTTCCCTGCAAAAGGAAAATTCGATTCTTCCTGCAATTTTTGCAAAAGCTTTCTAATTGCGGGGACGAGTTTGAATTCGAGATAAAATCTATTTATCAAATTCCTGACCACTTCGAAAAAGTCGTTGAGCTTTTCGACAGCAGTCTCAGGTGGTCGTTTCATTCCAGAGAGGATATCATTTTATCGGGGTTAGTTTTCAGCCTTTTTTTATCTTCTGTGTGAATTTTTTTTATAGCCGATACGCTAACTCCGGTATAAATAAATATCCGCTCAAGTTTACGTTTAAGCGGCAACTTAAGCGAACTCTCTGTAGCTTCTTCATCGCAAACCCTATTATGAACACAAGGAAATAAACCAAATGAGATTTCATCCACATTATTATTAACTTACCTATATAAATTAGCTATTATTTCTCTTGTCTGACTATGTAACGTCTTACCCTTAACAAATTTATTCATTTTAAAACACAAATATACGATCAAACTTGATATTAATAATTAAAACTACGAACGAAAAGCATTATAACAAGATAACAAAACAATAAAACACAACTTAACTATCAAATATATGAAAAATATAGGAATAAAGTTTAGGATAACCGGTATAAAATAATGAAATAAAGTAATAATGATCAAAAAATGACACCATATTTCAATAGTATTCAATATTCCTACTCTTTTTAGAAGAGACCGTGAAGTTGGGGATAAAGCAAGCGAATACGAAAGGCGTAATAGCCATGGCAACCGCGTGGTAACAAATCCTGTGACGTACCCTCGCCAATTATGTTCGATGAATAGGCCGCCATGCGCGGCGATGCCGGTTTGCCAATGATATCGTTGAAAAATCTTCAACTTTCATAATAAGCAGATTATACAGAATGAAAGAAATAAGTTATTAAATAAAACATATCGAAAATATGAACTTAGTTAGGTTAGTTAGAAATACATTCCTTAGTAATATACGTCAGAATATATGCTAAACACATTATATATAATAAAAATCTATTAAATTTATAGTTCATGTCTGGCAATTTTGCAGTTTTATAGATAAACGTGGCAATATCGATTTTTTTTTCTCGCATTCCTTCCGTAGCTTCAGATTCGCTGGTCAAACAGTAATGTTTTGGTTAGTTCGTTTACACCTAGATCAAGTGTATCTGTTTCATTTCTTCCTTTCAGTGATTGAAGTGTCTTATATTATTATCCATTTACGAAGATGAAAACCTGCTGTATTAAGGACCTTTGCTAGTTGCTATGTTAACAGCCTCTTCAATTGTATCAGCACCACTCAACAAATCGTCAACATAAAAGTGGTTTTGTATTACATTTGCTATTGTGGGATTAGTTTTTTCTATTTCCACCCCTAACTGATATAAACATCTAATGGCTAAATATGGCGCTGCAGATGTGCCATAAGCTACTGTGTCCAATTCATAAATTTCGAGTGACCCATCAGGTGTTTCACGCCACAAAATTCTTTGTAATGGTTTCTGTTGTGGGTCTACTCGACACATCCTATACATTTTCTCTATATCAGCACTAATTACATAGTTGTACGTTCGATACTGCAGGAGGAATGAGAATAGATCTGACTGGATTATAGGTCCAACAAGTTGTAAATCGTTAAAAGAATATCCACTACTACTTGGACACGAAACATCAAATACTACCCGTAACTTGATGGGGCATGTAATAACTAAAAATTGCATTATCTGTAATGATAATAAAGTATTATTTATGCAATGCACTTATCTTGTCTCTGTTTGACTACGGAGATACGGTGTATGGCGACTCATTGAAATCTAGTACTTCCAGATCTATACAAAAGGTTCAGAATATTTGCATGCGTTGGTCATTTAATATTACATTTAGAAGTCATATAACTCCACATTTAAATAATAATTTAATTTTATGCATGGAATATCGGCGATTGTGTCACATGCATTCACTGATTTATAGATTAATGGCAACCGGTGAACCATCTTATTTAAGACAATTGTTTAGCCCACAGTCTCACGATTATCTGACACGCAGCGCAAGTAATTTTAGAATTCCTTACATAAAACTGCAAATTTTCAAAAATCTTTTAGTTATGTAGCTGTTAACTTGTGGAATAATCTTCCTACATTTGTTAAAGAAAATTCTCTGCGCCAGTTTAACAGGTATGTCAAAGGTAAGCTATTGGATAAACAAATAACAGATATGTAGCAACTCAAATGGGACAACTATTGTATGACCGACCGCCAAGATAAATTTATTACACATGGGCGACTTCCCGTATGCGTCTGTTCGTTTTTGATTCCCGTCTTCTTGTCTTTTTCCCCCTTCTGCGCCTGCCCGTTCCGTTGCATCTTTTCCTTAGTTTAAATTATAACTGATTATTTTTTTTATTATATGTATTATATTTAATATTTTACTTGTAGTTAAAATTATAATTTCAAATTGTTAGGTATTTTCTTATTATTTAGTTGGGTATTCTTTGTTGTTATATTAAGATTCGTTATATATTATATTAATATATCCCAAGTATATATTTTATGATTTAAATTATGTCAGGATACATCTCACAGGCCATTGGAAAATGTGCCTTGTGCATCGGTTCTAAAAATCGCGGTGTATTCCTTTTTGTCGGTATTTATATATATTACATTTGTATATTAAAATGTATAACATTTAATACTGATAAATAAATATTTTGATGTGATTTTATTTGATTTGATTTGACTCAACTGCAAATTGTCAATTATTCAGGAAACGCTTTTAAAAAATAATTAATCTTATAAATTTGTTTTAGGGTACGAAAAGAGACAGTAAAAGCATTGAACGTTGTTATGGCAATAAAATGACTACTTAAGATCAATAATTATATAATAATAATAATAATTGGATAACTTATATTTATTATTTTTTAAATATGCATTTTATCGGCATTTGAATATAGAAATATTTACAGTTGTGTCATTATTCTTCCGAAAAGTTCCGAATAATAAGAAATGTGACAAAATCGTATTAAAAAAAACTTATATTTGTAAAAAAAAATTTTTTATGAGCAAAAACGTAACTGAATAATGTTAAGGAGATCAGGTGGCTTATAACGAAGCTAACCTAAAAATTATTTTTTGAAATAAAGAACAATCTCTTATTTTAAAATAACGTGTTGAAGAACGATTCATAAAATTTTGGAATAATATTTGCTTCTAATAAACTTTTTAAATCTCGCTTTTTATTTTCTGATATTTCTCACCTCGAATCATACGCTGGATGTAGAGTAATATTCATCTGATTTTTTGTATTCGAACCTCTAGTTCCAACGATTTTGATGGGAAGTGATCACCATTCATCTTGTTTATAGCTTGTTTTATATTGGTAACGATTACTTCCCTTTACAAACCGTAGCATTTTAACTTCGGATACTTTAAACTGCTTGCCATCAGAATTTTTAGTATAATTAAAGTTCCTGGCTTAATCGTTTAAGGTCTATAAAATCGTTAAAATTCATTTCCTTCACTATGTAAGAATTTCCTTTTTTCTTTGCATTTCTTATCATGAACACATATTGTTCTGGGACATATATGAGGCCCGATTTTTTCAATTTCTTTAAAGACTTTTCAATAACGCTATGTACTGCATCCCCCTCGTTCTGGGTATGCCCTCGTATTAGGTATTTATGCGTTATGGAATTGATTTGGTAATTTTTTAAGGCATATAAATACATTCCAATTGTATATCTAAAAAAGTAAAACTTTAAAGTTACATCGCCCGGTGCAAGCAATTCGATAGAAGCTAGTAGTTACTTAATTTAGGTTGATAAAGTAGGTACCTATTTTTTTGCTGCCCTCCACAATTGTCCGTATAGAATATGATATCACAACCTGGGCGATCATTGGCTACTTCTTCAAGAAACTTTAGGACACAAGTTCCTATTTCTATTGCTCCTCGCTGAGCTAATCCCTCGTGCCAGAAAAAACATACATTATTGTCCTTTGTTATTTCAGATATCTGTAACAAAATAAACATACTTGTTTCAATTACTGAAGAGGATAAAATAATAATGAAGGTTTACTTACTGTAAAATTGTAACAGTTTAGTCTCGACTTGTGAAAGAAAGCTGACGTTTGTCTTGTAGGAACAGGAAGTACTGCTTGTAAGTCATAAACAGCTAATACTATTGTTGATCCCTCTTTCTCTGCTTGTTCTTTATCTTTTGCCTTTTCATTTCTACTCAACATTTTTTCTTCTTGGTGTATTTCATAATTTGTCTCTAAATCTTCTTTTTCTTTATTACTTGCATTTTTGTACGCTTCACATATGTCACGCTGATCTTTCCGAGGTGCAAAAAATCCTATGTTAAATTCCGTATTAAAAAGATGAGTGTAGGTGTCATAATTTGCTGCTTCTCTGTTGTTCAAACGCCGTCCAGCAGTGTAATGCCTACGCAGTTCTGCAATACTAAGCCCCCCATCTACGAACTCTCTTGAAGTTTGAGCACGTAGGTAGTGGCTTTCCACTCTTGGTATTCCCTTTATATGAATTATTACTGATTCCAGAATCTCTTGGTCAATTTTCAAATGTCTTCCATGCTTGCCACGTTGGTCTTGAGCGATGATTCCACTTCCAGTAACTTTACTGTGAATTACCGTTTGGAGAGTTTGCTCGGTTATTCCAAATGTACTGATTAGAAATGTTTTACGTACACGTACTTTACTGACATCATCGTCCTTTGTCAAATAGAAAGCACGGTTTGGATTCCTAGCCTCTGCGGATGTTATTCGTCTATAATTTGTGATCAGTTTTTCAACGCATGAGCCCAAGAAATCGCGCTGGCGCTGAAATATGCCTAGCCCCCAATAATCCGCAAACAGTTTAGCTCTTTGATTTTCAGAGAATTTCTTAGAGCATCCAAGCTTGCCGCGCTCTGGACAGGGTGGCTTCATGATTTTCTCTGAAACAATTTTACCTATCCGAGAAACATAACTTTTCGCTAGATTTTTTAGGATTTTGGATTTGTTTCTTTTCCACTTTGACGGATTCATTGTCTCTTCTTTCCTTTTTTAACAGGTGACCCATTTAAGTACTCGCACCACTGCAATCAGCTGAGTTGGGTATATATTCATCACTATCTTCTTCTGGGAAGGCTTCCTCATTCTCTGAAACCTCCTGGTACAATCGCTTTTGGACTCTTCTTAAAATAAGCTTAGTTGGGGTAGTATTTGTCTGTGTATAAAATAGAGGGTTTTTGATTTCCATAGATATTTTTGATGTACTAGGCATTAGAACAATATCTCCAGTGACATTCATAGAACCTAAAAATAATAAATTTTATTATCAATATAACTACCTCAAGAAGAGACAAAAATACGACACATACAAGGTTATTAAAAATAAACAAACCTTCAAGGGTTTTTGGGATTTTGGCTACCATATTAGCTTCAGATGGATTAGGCGTTGGTTCAACATTCTCAATATCATTCAGCTTGCAAACTAAAAAGAGTAACATTATTTTGTCACACATTAATGGAAGATGGTATAAGCAGATTGGCAAAAAAGCGAAAAAGTTCATGTATAAAAGATACCTGTAACGGTTTCAATGTTTTCATCTTCCATATCCATTTTAGATGCAATGGGCATTGATTTAACATTATCAATAGTGTTCAGTTTGGTGGAGCTTTGATGGTAACGTGTTTCCCATCTATACCACCTGAGCAACCAGGGAATTTCCAGGAATTTCTGAAGCTTTTTCCAATCCTTCTCCAAAAAACAAAACAAAAAATAAGTTAATGAACAGAGACTAGTTTTTTTTGAGAGCAATGAAAATGGAATGTTATTTCTGACTTTAAGAGATGGTTTACTATAAGTTTTTCATTTTGTGTTGGTTTTTTTACTCGATTTATTGTTTTACAGAACCTCGATTCACAACATGAACTACTTGATGGAAAGGAACCTTCCACATCCCAACACAATCAGTCTGCTGAAAAAAATTACCCTATTGCAACACCTGAATCTCAATGTAATCAAGATGAACAAGAACAATACGGGACCTCAGTCATTTGGTCACTAAAGTGAAGAACGTAGCTGACTCAATTAACACACACATGCCAACAGAAACAGAGTTTGATATATTCGGGAAAAGTGTAGCTGCCCAGCTTAAAAGTTTGCCAATCGACAAAGCAATAGAAGGACAAATGTTTATCCAAAATTATCTTTGTAATTTACGTCTGCAACAAATGGGCCACGGAATATCCAATTACGCATACATCCCGTCACCAAATTCTATGTACCATTCTTCACCATCACCGACTTACACACTACCACCACAACATTCTTCTTCCACACAACCACCACAACGATCCCCTTACACACAATCACCGCAAAGTTGTCATTACACACAACCACCACAATCTTCTACACCAGATTCTACTGATAACATTTATCTTGCTGACCAATCTTTCTACCTACTACAGACAAATAATGACAATACAATGACTATGTACTCTGAAATCAATGAATCTCAAACCTCAAACTGCAACTGTAGTAATACAAGATGACATATTGGCTAAGGCAGTATCGAGTATTTACTAATAAGTTGATTGCAAATATGTTGAGTTTGAAAATAAACCTAGTTTAATAGAAAAAAAAATCTTTCTAATGTTACTCACCTTTATGTAATCTCTCAGTGCGTTGTAAATAGCATCGCATACTTCGGATATGATGTTACAAGTTGTCGATCTTGGTACCCTGAATAGGTGTTGCAAGACGCGTAAACTAATTCCGTTAAGCTGCGTTGACACGGGTCAAGTGACTTGATCAACTCACTTGAATTCAAGTGAATTTCAAAAAGCGATCAACTCACTTGAATTCAAGTGAATTGAACGCTTTTTGAACGTGTAAACCTCCAATTCATCTGACTGGATTCATTTCACTTGAAACAATCGCCAGTTGATCAAGCTCAAACTTTTTCGTTCAAGTCGACAAAATCAATAAATATGGCCGGTACTAGGTGGAACGAGGAAACCCCGTTGAAATTTGTTTTAGCCGATCAAAAATATCCATGTTTGTGGAACACAAAAAGTATAGATTATAGACATAGGGATTTGCGGGCAAGTGCGCTTATCAAAATTATTGAAGAAATGAGGGAAAACGGAGTTTCCATGACTACGGTGGATGTAAAGAACCGTATAAAAAGTATTCGAACAACCTACGCTGCAGAAGTGAGAAAAATTAAACAGAGTGTAAGGAGCGGTTCAGGTACACATGATATATACAGGGTGTTCGTTTTAAAACTTACCACCCACGTTATCTGCAAAAATAGACAGATTTGTGATATTCGCGGAAACACGTCAACAGATTTATCGAGGGGGAAGGTGTTTTATAAAAATCGGATGGGCATGGCATGAGGGGTTGTGTGATACATCATTTTAAAGCGCTTTTTATTCTGAACATCTTGACGTCCTATTTTTTAAATTTTACTTTGCCTTTGCGGAATAACAACCATATTAAGGTTTAAATAGGTAGACATAATAAAAATATATATATTACTGCTCTGTCCCATAAATGCTGTAAATATTAAGAAAAATTACATGTTTATTATTAAAAAAAATCAGTAAACAACATGAGTAGAGGTAGAAGGGGGTTTCACCATCAGTGGAGGGTGGAGGGAGCGCACGGCGCATGCGCGAGGAGTGGGGGTACAGCGCATGCGCGAGGAGTGGGGGTACAGCGCACGCGCGAGGAGGAGGGGAGCTGTCAAACGTCAAATGTCAAACGTCAAACCTGTCATCTGTCAAACGTCAAACGTCAAACCTGTCATCTGTCAAATGTCAAATGTCAAACGTCAAATGTCAAACGTCAAACCTGTCTTACGTCATCTGTCAAATGTCAAACGTCAAACGTCAAATCGCGAGGAGGGGTACAGCGCAGGCGCGAGGAGGAGGGGGTACAGCGCAAGCGCGAGGAGGAGGGGCACCTGTCAAACGTCATCTGTCTTACGTCATATGTCAAATGTCAAACGTCAAACGTCAAACCTGTCATCTGTCAAACGTCAAACCTGTCTTACGTCATCTATCAAACGTCAAACGTCTAACCTGTCTTACGTCATACCTATTATATACAAGGTGTTAATGAAAAACAAACGCTTTACATCATAGATTGTTTTTTCACACCCGGTATATATTCCAAAAAAAAAAATCTTTCCATGTTTTAACACAGATGATAATTTTAACGTTTGACGATTGAGTTTTAATTAATAATGCCTTTTGGGTATTCATAAATAATAATAATATTTATTTAAACGGTAAAAATAAATCAAACTTGATTTATCCATAACGATATGATGAGAGCGATGTGAACAAGACAATGGTTTACAGTAAAATGATCTAATACTTCAATCTTTACGGCTTCCTCTCATGATGTCATGCTTTTGTTTTTCTAGAAGATGAATTATTGTGATAAATATTTAAGTAAAATAAAATAAATCAAACTTGGTGAAAAATACATTGTGCAACATTTATTCCTTATCGGAGTTTGCGGTCGGTATTATTTTTAATCGGACTTTGCAGCTTCCGGTATGACGACTATGATATCACGCGTTTGTTTTTCTAGATTGCGGTTTCCGTTTCCGTTTCCGGCCTAGCATTGTACCCAGCAAACAACTCGCAATTCACGTCAGTCTCTACTTGCCTCTCGTCGAAATTAGTCGTTTCACTGTGAAAAATAAAAAAAATGTTTCTGTGCAGCACTTGTGGGGAATTGTTTTCCTATAAAAGGAATTTGACAAGACATGCGAAGACTTGTAATGGTGAGTTTTTTATTTTATTTTTTATATTGTGCAATATTAAATGTTTTTTCTATTTTTTTTAGCCAATGAAATCCAAACTGCCACGCCCCAAACCAGCGTGGACGAGGGTGCTAGCCTTAGTAAACGTAAGTAAATATTTTTATTTTATGTTCTGGCTTTAAAAATGCTTTTTATTTTAGATATGTGCCAAAAATGTTTGAAATCCTTTAGCAGAAGTGATAGTTTAGGCAGGCATATGAAGATTTGTAAAGGAGCCCCTAATGGTGAGTTTTTATTTTATTTTTTATTTTATATTAAATGGTTTTTCTATTTTAGTCAATCAGCCTGAACCAAAAAATTTAGAGAAGACCTCCCTAAAAAGGACGAGCTCTGCCACTAACAGTAAGTAATTATATTTTTTTTCCATTATTTTTAAACTAATTAACTATTTAATTATTTTTTAACATATTCAACTATTATTTTTTAACTTTTTTTTCCATTATTTTTAAACTAACTATTTAATTATTTTTAACATATTCAACTATTATTTTTTAACTTTTTTCAATTATTTAAAACTAATTAACTATTTAGCATATATTTCTATTATTTTTTAACAGAAAGCATCTATTTTATATTAAATATTTTTTTTTTCTTTTAGTCAATCAGGTAGAGCCAGAGTCTTCGGTGCCAAAGAGAGCTAGACTTGGTTTCAATAACGGTAAGTTATTATTATTTTTTTATACACCTTTTAAATTAAAACGTATATTTTTTTTTAGAACACTTGGTAATGCAGGAGGAAGGTGTTTACTTAGTTAATACCTCTTACAAAAACCGAATTGCTACATACCGACTTTTATCGAAAAAAGATCCTATCAGCGTTAATGATTTTTTAGCTAATCTCCGCGAAAAAATTATTGCGTTGGTAAGGTGCCAAATCGAAAGATTTGGCAATGTGAAAGTCGGTATGGAGCTTTTCGGTCGTTTCCTCCTGCAGACAAAGGAGGTAGAGGAGACCAAGTCCTTTGGCTCTAGGTTCAGGGGAGCAAGTCAGGGCACCGATTTGGAGGAGTTGTTTGATCAGTTCACCACTATCATTAAGCGGAGATTCCAGGAGTTCAATGAAAAAGATAGTGGTAAGTATATAATTTTTTCTGATTTCACCATACTAATTATTTTTTCGTGTACATTAGGTTGGACTCTTCAGCAACTCCTTCACGTAGATGTAAGGGTAAATAAAATCAACCCACTAAAAGCCTCATCTTATATACCATTACCGAAGGAAATAGAAGCGAAAAGGGCTGTGTTGAACATACAAAACACTGACCAGAAATGTTTTGTATGGTCGGTTTTAGCCGCCTTTCACCCAGTTCATTGGACTCAGAACGCTAACAGAGTCCTGAATTACCACCCATTTGAACAGGAATTGGATGTGACAGGTATAGATTTTCCGATATCCTTAAAACAAATTTCAAAATTCGAACAACTCAATAATATTTCTATTAATGTTTATGGACTCGAGAAGGGTTATAAACATGATAGGAATATTATTGAAGTTGTTGGTCCTTTGTATTTTACTAGATCTCATAAGGCAGATAGACATGTGAATTTGTTATTAATCAGTGATGATTCTGGCAATAATCATTATTGTTTAATAAGAAATATGTCTCGCCTAATCTCACAGCAGCTTTCTGCTAAAAAAGTTGCTAAATACTTGTGTGATGGTTGCTTGGTTTATTTTTCTTCAGATATTAAATTAGAAAATCAAAAATACGATTGTGGTCATGTTGTAGTTGAAACTCCTTCGGTTAATTTAAAGAAAAATAAATATGGTGAAAACATTCCCGAGAATATCCTTAAATTTACGAATTTCGAACGAAAATTAAAAGTACCTTTTGTTGTATACGCTGATTTTGAAACTATTTTGGAACATATACAAACAGAGCAAAACGAGCTGGATCCTGAAATTTCCTATACGGTGAAAACACACCAACACGTTCCTTATTCTTTTGCCTATTACATTAAATGCGATTTTGATAATTCTCAGTCGATTTTCAAGACTTTTAGAGGACCTGATGCACATAAAGTTTTCATAGATTGGTTAGAGACTGATTGTAAATCAATCTACAATCGATTTATGAAAAATATTGTATCCATGTCTCCTCTCAGTAGTGTACAAGAAGCCGAGTTTTATCAGATGACGCATTGTCATATTTGCGAATCTCCTTTTAATGTGGAAGATGACAGAGTAAGGGACCACTGTCATCTGACAGGGAATTATCGAGGTGCGGCTCACTCTGTTTGTAATCTAAATTTTAAAGTACCTAATTTTATTCCTGTGTTCTTCCACAACATGTCAAATTTTGACAGTCATCTTTTTATAAAAGAATTGGCTGTGGAGGAAGAACGATTGGACGTCATCCCCCAAAACAAAGAAAGATATATTTCTTTTACAAAATATATTATGGTGGGGGATGACGGCAATAACCAGGAAAAGCGACAACAAAAGTTATTTTTAAAATTAAGATTTTTGGATAGTTTTCGATTTATGGCCTCCAGCCTGGATAAGTTAAGTCAAAATTTAACATCACAGCAGTGTCGCGAGGTTAGAAAGTATTTCCCTAACGAAGAAGAATTTAAGGTTATTCGTATGAAGGGTGTTTTCCCATATTCGTACGTAGATTCTTTTTCCAAATTAGACGATACCAAGCTTCCACCCATTGATGGTTTCTATAACGAGCTTAGAAAAGAAGCCATCAAACAAGGAGATTACGAGCGTGCATTGAACGTATGGAATTTATTTAAATGTCAAACTTTAGGCGAATATTCAGATATATATTTAAAATCCGACGTACTATTATTAACTGATGTTTTTGAGAATTTTAGAGAGGTGTGTCTACAAACATACGGTCTAGATCCTTCCGGGACCGGTTCCTCATCCAAATACCAACTTAAACTTTTTTGTATGTGAACTTCCTCGGTCGTGGACATTAAATTGGGAAAATATATGTAAAAAGTATGGTTTGCTTCCGTAAATGAAATCACTATATTTACAGAAATATTTTTTTCGAGTACGGGTTAACATACTCAAACTGCAAATTGCTATTGACAGACCACATTTCGAAAGCCTGTCTCGTTATTCCTACATATTTTTGTCTATGTGGAAGATATGCGGTTGATGGAGGGTAAACTGTCCATCTTAGAATACCTATTAGTATTCCATTTTCCTTGTTTGCTATTACGAAGGGTATAGTAATTATCAGAAGTTCCACACCAATACCTCTGTATAAAAGAAACGGTTTGGGGGTTCAATGTTCCATCCTCTGGCAGATTATATATAGTCTGAAATTCGCTTAAACTCTCCGTCAATGATTCTAGGTTCTGAACGTCTGCTGATTCGTTATTATGAAAATATCCGTGAAATCGTAAGAAAGTCTGGGCTTCTTCTTATGTTAGCTCCTTACCACTTGTAGGGTGAATAAGCACAGCAACCGCTGCCACTATCGCTAAAATAACGTACATGTTGTTCAGACAAGATTAGGCTGTCAACTGAATGTAAGTAGTTTGTTAACCACCCTATATACAGGTTTACGGTCTATATACCACTTCTAAACGCTCAAGCTCCCTTAAAATCTTGAAAATATCCTCTTTTTTTCCTTGGGTCTGATCCAATACATATAGTCTATCAACCAGTTCATTAATGTCGTCGTATTCCAGAGGAGGAGAACTATTGTTTAAGTCTTGTTCGTTTATATCATAGCATTCCAGAGCAGGAGAACTATTGTTTAAGACTTGTTCGTTTATATCCTGACTTCCTTGTTGTTGTTTCACAGTACGTTTTCTTTCGCCTTTCTTCCTTGCCGGTGGAAATAGTTTAGAAATAATATTTACATATTTCCAGCTCTTGCTTGAATTAATGTGTTTATCCTGATTAAACTGACGTCTATGCGCGTTTGTCAATAACAGTATAAACTTATAATTCTCTAAATCTATTTCGGAGTACTCAGTAGGATGCGATTGAGTAAGAAGATTCAATAATCCGCTCGTCAATTCAAATTTTTCATCTTTAATCGCTAGATACCCATCATCATATTGAACTTTAACTGGTTCGTTACCAATAAGCAGACGTTTGTTCGCTCTTCTAATACCAAATATTAATTCTAATAGTTTTAACCTACAGCGTTGTCGTTCCATGACCGATGATGTACTAATGATACCTTTCATAAGAATATGTAGTATTTATACCCAACACAACAGTAAAGCAACAGGAACACTACAGTAAAGCAACAGGAACACTAGAGTAAAGCAACAGGAAAGCAACACAGACCTGATTGAACGGCCCTGATTGGAACGGCCCTGATTGCAACAGATCTGATTGGAACGGCTCGTTTACCTGATTGAACCGCTTCAACGGACCCCTGATTGTCTAACGTTGGCTTAGGTACATATTTTTAAAATCCACTAGCGCAAGCTCCTTTACCGATAGTTTAAAAAAAATAATTAACTATGCTACGGGGTAATTTAACAGAAAATATAATGTGGAAAAATAAATAATTACATAAAAATATTTTTTGAATATATACGGTGTGAAAAAATAAACTGTAAAATATATGGTGTAAAAGTAATACGTGATGAAATCACCGCCCGGTTTTAGCGATGAATATTTAAGTAAAAATAAATCAAACTTGGTGGTAATACATGTAGAATAAAAAAGTAGTGATCAGTCTTTGCGGTTTCCGGTATGACGGTGAAAAACACATTGTGCAATATTTATTCCTTATCAGAGTTTGCAGTCGGTATTATTTTTAATCGGACTTTACAGTTTCCGGTATGATATCATATTTTTCTAGAATTAGATCAATTTGCATCATGTGGTTAGACAAAGTAGTCATCTACCGGATTGTTTTGGTTTTTGAAAGGAAATGGTGACTGGCTGAACGCTGTGGTTCTCACCGTGTGTTTTTTAAATAAATTCTCTGTTAGAGCCGTATGTTAGAGGTATGAGTAGTGCCATCTATTAGAAATAGTTAATAGCGGAGCTAATCATCATTACAGGTCCCCACGTATAAGAAAACATTACTTGTTATCTTTTTTTTTTAAAATAAAGACCTCTCACATCTCTCAGGTTTTCTATGCTTAGGTTGAAGGATATATATAAAGAAAAAGGTTTGTTTAATAATTCTTTATTGATAAAAACGTATTAGTACAAACATTACAACGAAGCTTTATAAGTGTTAGTATAAATGTTTATCTGTGTCGTCTCTAGAACCCTACTTTTACTAAAAGACAGATAATAAAAGTATTTTGCTGTTGTGACGAATGCGCCAGACTATTTTATAAATATATATAATTATCCTAATAACATTCGTGTTTATGTAACATTATTTTCTATACACTATGTATAAAATATATGTGGTAGTATAAAATGATAATGTTTATCTACAGCGGTTAACAGAAGAACCTAAATCTAATGTATAAGTACAACTTGTATAGTAAACATACGTTAAAAGTAACATTATTTTCTATACACTATGTATAAAAATATACGTGGTGCTATAAAATGATAGTGTTTATCTACAACGTCTAACTAAAGAACCTGCAGTACTAAAGAACCTACAGTACAACTTGTATAGTAAACATACGTTAAAAGTAACATTAACTATATTGACATGATCCAAAAAAAAAAAAAAAAAAAAACACTTATACAAAAGTATGATATAATGGTCCGTTATAGCTGACAAATTTAATATCAACAAAAGGCATGGAATTTATCTACTATGCACATGCACTCATAAGGTTCTAAACATACCTACATATTTTAATAAATAAACAATTAGAACTTACTGAAATCTAATATTAGTTATATAAGTACACCTTTATAGCTTAACATACGAAAACTTACAGCCTGTATAAAATGAGATATTATAAGTATTACGTGATAGTAGGTAAATTACCAGGGTACATTTCAATATAAGGCTACAAAAACTACTAAAACACAGATTTAACAAGACCTAAGTCATCTATTATAACTAAAGTATCGCAACTAAAACCGTTGGTTTCTCCAGTGTCTAGCTTCTTGTAAACAAGCCGCAACGGTACATGAACACCTACTCGTCGAATTCTCGCGCTCTCTCTCAGACAACGGTCGGTATAGTATATAGTCCAGTTGTCTTGTAGTCATTGGTTCGATCCCCGGCGTTTCTCCGGTAATCTGTTTGTAAGATTATAGGGACAGGTCGGGCTCTTCATCTTCTGTTAAAACCATGGATTTTATGGTTTCAAAATTCACGGTTTGAGAGGTGTTGTAGTTTAGGGAGAGACCTTTAACCTTGCACGTTATGGAATATTCCCCGGTCTTAGGAGAATATACCTTATACGCATAATTCTTAGGCCCTCCCGACACAAACTCATCAATGTAGCTGCCCTCGCCATACCCCTCCAGCTCGTCAGTCATTTCACCAAGGAAATTTCCAAGGGGTATATCTTCTTGCCCGGTCTTCGATAGGTAAATAACGCTATCCGTGTCCGTGTAAATAGCATTATCACCGACTTTTTCCAGGTAGCTATATAATTTCAGGCGGGCTTGGGCCGTGGTGTATGCGGCTAAACATACATTTACTGTTGGTAAAACATCGTACGCTTCATCCTTTACACGGACGGGACCAAATTACCTCAGTTGTAAAGTATCTCTGTCGTTGCACAGGCAGTAATGGAGTTGACGCTCATGTTGCCAGGTTAGTTAGCATTAGAAAACAGGGTTTACTCGGCCTTAATGCAACAAATCAGACGTCTTTCCTGATTTTCTCTCTGTTTCCTACATTGCCCCCCACGAGGTGATGACCGCTTTACCCAACTGTCTAAGGCCCGGGTTTACAGAAACCTTTTCCGGATCTAGCGTAACACCTTCCCTTGCCAAATATTCACGTACGTATTGGTCTTTGGATTCGGGTGTTGTACAGTATGAAGGCCAGCCTGATGATTCCTGCTTGATTTTAAGGAACTTGCTAATATATCCGTTGAAAAGAGTAGAGGTAGAAGGGGGTTTCACCATCAGTGGAGCAGTGGAGCAGAGCGCACGGCGCATGCGCGAGGAGTGGGGGTACAGCGCATGCGCGAGGAGTGGGGGTACAGCGCAGGCGCGAGGAGGAGGGGAGCTGTCAAATGTCAAACGTCATATGTCAAACGTCAAACGTCAAACCTGTCATCTGTCAAACATCAAACGTCATATGTCAAACGTCAAACTTATCATCTGTCAAACGTCAAAACTGTCATTATGTCAAAGTCACACCTGTCTACTATGTCTGTCAAACGTTCAAAACGTCAATGCGCGAGGAGTAGGGGTACAGCGCAGGCGCGAAGAGGAGTGGTACAGCGCAGGCGCGAAGAGGAGTGGTACAGCGCAGGCGCGAAGAGGAGTGGTACAGCGCAGGCGCGAAGAGGAGTGGTACAGCGCAGGCGCGAAGAGGAGGGGAGCTGTCAAACCTCAAACGTCATATGTCAAATGTCAAACGTCAAACCTGTCTTACGTCATACTTATTATATACAGGGTTAATGATACTACAATATTTTAATATTTATTTAAGTATGCATTAAATTTACTTTTTGATATTTTGGCACAGGTACTAAATACTATTATAGCAGATGATACAAACGTCATGAATTATATACAAAATAGAACTATATATGAAATCACTGTAGGTCCTTCCTTATCCTTTTTACACGTCTGATTTCTGATAGTTGAAACTATTCGGTTAAACTTGATGGTACGATCTGGCAATCGAATTGATCTCCAAACTTCTATTTTGAAAAGATTACCCTTATTTTATATTGTATGTTCGTCTTATTCCTAGTCTCTTCTCCCGATAATGGACGTTTGAAAACTTCCACCGATTCGTTATTGCTATATTCCAATCGTTGCCAAGCTTCTGGCCATTTACACTCCGTTGTAGTATCATTGTTTTTTAAACATAC